GTCGTCGTCGTCGTCGTCGTCGTCGTCGCCGTCGCCGTCGTCGTCGTCGCCGTCGCCGTCGTCGTCGTCGTCGTCGTCGTCGTCGTCGCCGCCGTCGTCGTCGTCGTCGCCGCCGTCGTCGTCGCCGCCGTCGTCGTCGTCGTCGCCGCCGTCGTCGTCGTCGTCGTCGTCGCCGTCGTCGTCGTCGTCGTCGTCGTCGTCGTCGCGTCGTCGTCGTCGTCGTCGTCTCGTCGTCGTCGTCGTCGTCGTCGTCGTCGTCGTCGTCGTCGTCGTCGTCGTCGTCGTCGTCGTCGTCGTCGTCGTCGTCGTCGTCGTCGTCGTCGTCGTCGTCGTCGTCGTCGTCGTCGTCGTCGTCGTCGTCGTCGTCGTCGTCGTCGTCGTCGTCGTCGTCGTCGTCGTCGTCGTCGTCGTCGTCGTCGTCGTCGTCGTCGTCGTCGTCGTCGTCGTCGTCGTCGTCGTCGTCGTCGTCGTCGTCGTCGTCGTCGTCGTCGTCGTCGTCGTCGTCCGTCGTCGTCGTCGTCGTCGTCGTCGTCGTCGTCGTCGTCGTCGTCGTCGTCGTCGTCGCCGTCGTCGTCGTCGTCGTCGTCGTCGTAATGCCGGCTATACTGCATCCTTCGTTCAGGGCCAATCAGCATGGGCCGAGACCGCTTTGGAGTTTTTGTATCAGAAACAACTCGTCACGCTGGTTGGACGTAACTGTCTGACTAAAGTCAAGGTAGCTGCATGTATATATATGTTTGGTAATGGGTAGGCGGTTGAGCTGCTGATGCCTCGAACATATTTCGAGAGCAATCAGTAGTCTTCTATTTTCTCTGCTGCTCCGGCTGTCGTTTGCTATAGCTAACATATCTTTGCTCGGCTTTTTTGGCGTTTACGTAGTCGACAGCAGAAGTTGTGTCGCGGTGAGATGGCAAACTCAGGAACGCGATGAGCTAGTTGCCACGAGCTGTCGGCTATTAGTTACAGAGGCGCTACGGTTCGAACAGGGGAGCGCGGCCGTGTGCGCGGCAGACGATGAGGAACCCCGACCTTGTCCTTAGGTTCACTGATCCTGTTCTTTTCGTTTCAATGACTTCGTTGACGTCGTCGTCGTCGTCATCATCGATGAAATAAAGTGGACGGCGACTGTCGATCGATACATTTGTGCATCGTTTTACTCTGGCGACGAGCTTCGTTCTGCTTCCAAAATGCCGCCTCCTTTCTCTATCTATCTCCACTGGTCGCTCAGTCCATCCCTGTCGCGTTTCCATTCCCGCGACTTTTCCCAGCGCTTTAACCGCGTCAGGTTCCGTTGCTGCTTCTGCTCGGCTGGTTATTGCCGTTGACATTTTGCCGCTACCGCGCATCGCTAGCAGAAGTAGAGGCAGATTTAACACCGGAGAACGGAGAGGTAAAGAGTCAGGTTTCGAGCAATCACAGCGAAAGGGCCTTTTTCTCGTCTTCTGTTTTGACTGGTGGCTGTCGAACACTTCACGCCACTCTGCACCCGGCTGTCGCCGCGCGAACTACAGACTCCATTGCAGTAGCGGTTAGAGATGGCGGTTGACAGGTCACTATTAGCCACTCAAAATCTCGCAGCGCTACAACGGTGGTGGATTGGTGTAGATTTGAGCATCAACATCATCCCCATCATTGTCCTCATGACCAGCAGCAGCAGCAGCAGCAGCAGAAGCTAAAAGGGAGCTTTTGATCGTCTGTCTCTTTCGATTGCGGTAGCTGTGCATCCCCGGCCGCATCTCGTTTCACTTGGCGTCTAGTGATATCAACCTCCCCTTTGGCTCGTTCGTTCGCTTTCGCGCGCCCTCTTTTTCTATTGAAGTGAACGTACATGATACATTTTGGGATCCGTGTATCTTTATTCTCGTCTGCTTCGCTTCTGTATGCTGGAGATGAGGAACAGCGAAGGAGGGTGGCGGCAACGCTGATTATCGATCACTGAGCACCGCGGACTTGAAGTGACTCGGCACGAAGGCCGAATTGCTTTTCGGGCTTCAGTTGGTATTGTTTATTGGGCTTGATAATGGTGTGGGTTGGTTGAACGTCGCCAAACTGACAGCCCTTCATTCTCCTTGTTGTCCTTCCAGGAGACAAGCCACACAAATGCGAGATCTGCAACAAACGGTTCGCCCTCCCCTGCAACCTGCGAGCCCACGTTAAGACCCACGAAGGTATGATGCAACTTCAGTTTGAGAAAGCCCTCTTAATAAGGGATGGCAAAGTTTCGGGTTATGTATTTATGTCGAATAGACTAAGCTTATTATTATTATTATCGTTTTTATAGCTATTATTGCACTAGATAGTTCCTTTAAGCAGTGCAAACAATGCAGCTTAAATACAATATTTAAGAAACAAATTGTATATGTTTCCGTCGTTACATTGTTGGGCGTTCCCGCAAGCGTATCTTAGTAGCCAGCAATGGTAAACAGTGAAAAACTAATTCGACTTGTATTTCCTATGATTTGCCCTTTTATGAAAATGGTCGCCCGCGCATAGTAAGGGGCAGGGCTCCTAGAGGCCAGAATATGTTGGCAGTCGACGATTAGCACGTCGATCAAGATCAAGACCTGTGCGAAAGCTAGAAAAAAAAAGCTATAATCAAAGTTACGCCTGACACGATTGCTCGATGTTGGCAATAACAACAACAGCGACAGCAGGATGTTCCCCTGGACGTCCTGTCTTGTTCATTTCGGCGCTTCTATGTGCGGGTCCGACATTTCCTGGCTGGCAAAGTCTCTGCCTGCCTACCTGTGTATATCTGTGTGATAGCTTTTAGTTCAAGAGTGGGCAGCCAGCCCGGGAGCGTGCATCACGATCGACCTCGGCAGCCAACCAATTCTGGGTCTATTTCGATTTGCTGCTTGCCGAATTGTTGGATTCAGAACACCATGCGGGGCCAACATGGGTGCCGTTGTTGCGGCTGCCGCCATTTCCTCATCAAGATAACCGTGACAAGATTATCACTATTTACAAAGTTGGACCAACGACATCATTAACGAGCATAGCAACAGCGGCAAATACTACATTGACATTCGTTGGACACTTGTAAGGTGATGGCGTCAACAATTCCAAGCATAGCATGAGTGTTTCAAACTTTTCCAAGAATCATTAACAAAGAAATAGCAAACCATTGACTGGCTGAATTCTCTCCACGTAAGCGAACATTGTATTGTAAGACATTTGACGAGAATAGATCAATGGTCGTTTTAGTTAGTGGCTTTATCATACGCATTGTAAAATCGCTACTCGTGCAGCGTTGACACGAGTGTGTGCGTGCCTGCCTGCCTACCTGCTTGCCTCGTCTGCCACCACTATATTTACTCTCCGCCGTGAGGATCATAAGCAAGACGCGAAGAGGGTTCTTTTTCGTCCACGTCATGCTTCGTGTCTATTGCCTTATGATTAGGCTGTCAACCTTTATGTATCAGTACTGTGTTTCTCCATCGTAATATCGGTAGTCGTAGATGCCCATGCGGTTTACAATAGTTCACACCGCTAGCAGTAATAGTTATATTATTATACGTGTCCTGTGTTTGCCTACATTCCTGTCCAGTACCTAGCCATTCATCATTGATACTTTTGTTTTTGGCTTGTCTTTCTTTGTCGCGTTGCCTTAAGAGCTACCAGGGTTCGCTACTTGTCCATTAGTCAGCAAAACTAGAACGAGCGGCCATTGCGGCAGCATCGGCCGACAACCATCATAATACGAGCTATTGCGAGCAAAAATTATCACTACGATGATGACAGTTCGTCCGCGTATTATCTCGTGTTGGCGGTGCAGCTGCTGGTGTTAGTTCTCTATAATATTTCTATAGGTTGTAGGATGTGTCTACATGTGCGAAGAGTTGTTGTTAAACGTTACTACATTGACGTTTGTTAAACTAGAAATGAAGCAATAAGTTGTTTCGTTTCCCCTCTCTCAAGTGCTTCGCCGTATAGATATAAATCTACGTATTATATGTGTATATGTATGTATTTACATCGCTGTTTACGACCATCCGGCAGTCGGCCAGTCGACAGAGGACCGTCGTATGCGTATCCCGACTACTGCTTGATCGGCTCACTATCTGAAAGACTAACTGGCCCGTTTACTCCAGCTCAGGCCGAACAAATTTTTATTAGGCCAAGAAAAGCTGAGAAGCCAAAAGGAGAATATATAGTTGTTATGTAATCACGTTGCGTCAAAGGCTTGAATAGTTCCATTTAATCTTGAGCCTAAAGTATGCTAACGAGCTTGTACGATGTATAAAATAGTGAATCAGGTGACACATAATGACAATACAATGAAACAGCTTACACTGGGTGAGATGGTCCTGAACCTATTTAGTTCTCTAGGCGATCGAAAATAATATCGCTACTAAATGTTAAATTCCCTCTGGCCACGCGATCTCTATCGATTTCATAACGTATTTATCTGCTCTTGTAGCCGCTCCTGGCTGGTTCTAGCAACCAGCAATCGGTGGCACTGGCTATGTCTTGACGTGAGGATATTCTTCATCCTGACCATGAAGATGATGAGGGGCAGTAAGAGCGAAGGTAACAGAAAATGGAAACGGTACACATACATATACTGGTGTATATATACAGGTACCAGTAGTAAGTACATGGGGGATAGCCGGTAGCAACTACCTCTAGCACGCATGATTCGACATGGTCAAGGACTCACTCACATACACAAAGTAACCGATGCGAGCGTCTATCATACAGGAGCAGTTCCGGCTAGGTGCACATTGTTGGCGTCATTCCTGCCGGTCCTGATGCATACCGTTACCTATCACCCGAACGGCTGTCGCCCGTGCTACGGCAGCTATAGTTATTGTTACTGTGGACGATATTTAAGGCGAAATGTGTGGCTTTTTACCTGCCGGTTGGCATCATCGACTCGAAAAAACTGTCCTAACAGCGCTAAATTTTATGGCTGTGGTTGATGAAATTTTTTTCTTTACCTCATTACGGTCGTTGTCTACTAGTCGCTCAAAACCGCGATGGTTTCTCTAAAGAGAATTGAATCTTTCTTGCCTCGCTCGACTAGCCAATCTTCATCTTAACGAAAAGAGGGCAACTTCTGACCCGATTAATGGTGTCGATGATTTGAGTCCAGTGTCAAATAAGGTTAGCCTCACAAAACAACCACAGGTGTGATCGTTAACATCGCAAATGTATCACAGACAACCTGGATACGGAATGATTGATTCTTCTAACAGTGGCAAATCATTTGCTTTTATCGTTGCAGAACAAAGCCCGTTGGATAAGACACAGTGTCCGCAATGTGACAAATTCCCGTGCGACTGCAAGGACAATGAAAAAGAAAAAGACATTGAGGAGCACTCGAGCGACGGAGCTTCCGATTCAGGCTTCGAAATGAAGGCGGTACGACAAACGGGCGAAGGACGGTCAGATCTCGTTGGCACGGGAGGACCACAGTTCAACCTTTTTAGCAATTTGATGCTGGACCAGATGATGCTCGCTAGCTATCAACAACAGATGAGTGTGTTCATGCCGCCAGCGTTACGAGCGCTTAAAATGTTCCAGGAAGGCGGTTTCGCCTTGCCAACACCACCGTGATCGATCCCCTCTATCGAACAACCTGTGTACTTCACTCTAAAATGCATTGGCTAGTACCAACCTTGGAAGCGTCGGGCCGTTGTCCAAGTTTCTCTACCTTTCATAAATAGGCTTTCTTTTTCAGCTTAACACGATGATCTCCTGCGGACTGAACGCAATGTATCATCCTTATATACAAAGGCTTTTTTAATTACATGCTTGATCAGCCCTCTGTTCCTAAAGTCATGTCGCAGGACTTGTGCAGATAAGTGAACCGGCAGCTCTGCCCTTACAAGTATGACAAAAAGATATAAATACGATAACTCTTTTATAATAACAGTACTACTAGTAAACACTGAGGAAGAGGAAGAAGAGTATGAAACTCGAGTTGCGAGGACATGACGGCACCGTTCGAGAGAGTTTTACGTTACTATCAATCGCGTACATATAGCACGGTACAAAAATAGCAAAAAACTTAGGATACGAGCCATGTCACATCGTCTCTTCACAACGTACGATAAGGGGATGCTGTTATCACTTTATCGGCGTTGGGCTGGGTCGGGCAGCGTTGAGCGGCGTGTCATGGCAGAGAGAACGATGGAACAAACAGATAAAAAAAAAAGATGATGTATGGATGACGCTAGCGAGCTCGATAGCCTCAAGAAAACTCCAACCGATACAAATAAGAAACATGAACAGAATATAACATAATACTAAGACAATATTGATGAGACATATCGAACAGAATCCTATCAGTTGCCCTTTTCGGGGGTGCGTAGCGAACGAACCTTTGGACACATTAAGATGTTGAGCGGCAACGTGAACCCGTCGTAATGAGAAGATGTCTCTTTTTGTAATCGAGCTCAATTTGCGACAGTCGACACAAAACCGGAGCAAGTAGGGTAACCGCAAATGTGCACAGAATGGACAAGAGCTCAGTCAGGTTGTCATCCGACGTCTGCAATGCGAGCCCAGTGCCTGGACCCAACTCGCCGCGTATATACACACGGTGAAGTTTGTCACCGATGAGTACAGTACGCTGACGGAATGCGTCACAGCTGGTTTTCCCGACTCTTCAAATAACTGATTGAAGTCCTTACGTAGCCATTTGATTAGTTGCTTCCCATCAGAACTCTAGCAGTATGCTCAATGGTCAGGAGGCGTATTAGAGACCTACCCAGCGAGTGGTTTAAAACTATTGACTCAACGTAACCTTGTATATAAGCTGTTGTTTAATTTAGTGATAAACTTCACACGTTCTTCTTGGATCAATAGTCATCACGTTTTAAGGAGTCACGGATGTACTCCGTGTAGGAGATTCCTGCAAGATCCCACTCATCTGAACCGCGGTCTTTGGAAACTCACTTTTTTTCACGATTCTGGCGATAGCAGCTAGCCTTTCTTGGCCATGGTGGGGTACGAACGAATCAGCACATACTGAGATAACATTCATCCTCATTTCTAGCCAGAACGAAATTTCTTAAGAACGACCGTTCGAAAATGACATCGCATGTCAAGTTGTCGACAGTTGCAACTATCTCTACCTAATCCCTCCTGACTCTTGACCTTTTCGGCAACATCTAGATGTTCCTGTTGGGCGTGGACGAATCTGACAACCCTTTTGGTAGCCTCAGCCCGGGGCCATGCCTAAGTATGTTCCAATAGCCCAACCGATGTGACACTCATGGTGCTTGTCACACACCTACCAATCGCGAACTCTGAAGAGTGCCCGTTCCCATAAATGAAACGGCAAAGGAGCTGAACTAGCATAATCTTGTGTTTGATGATTGTGTATGTGGACAATTAGCCTGTAAGTAGTCCCGGTCTCCACGCCGATAACATAAAATGTTGGTACAATTGTAAATGGAGCTAGGTTAAATAAACGTAACACCACTAGTCATCAGTCTCCTCTCTTCACAGTCCTTTGGTGTATGATACCGGACGGCCTAAACCAGGGCACTAGATCAAACCAGACTAGCCGCCGTGATCATGTTTACCAAAGGGATCAACCTCGCTATATTTTTCATGTTAGACCAGGAAACCGTAACTGTAATCTAACTCCAGTTCGCCCATAAGAGCACATTTGGCCTTGAAACGCTCTCAACGTGCCCTCTTTCACCTATACCTGTTCAATAAACTTTTTCGGTGGGTCGACTTTTTTCAGGGGAGAACGATCATTTAATTTGAGAATTTCCTAATTGTCTGGTCTGGCTACGACTTCTAGATCATACCATACTAAGGCGAAGTCACATGGGTACAAATTCAATTTGTTCTTGCAGCCACTATCAGTCGATGGCTGCTCGTGCCCTCTTCTCCAACCATCTAGCGTACCGCTGCTGTCAAAAACCCGGCCATCAAGTTTCTGCACAGTTTTCATAAAACGAGTAATTAAGCCGTCCGTATTTCCTAAAATCCCACCGCTGCTACCAAAATTTACGCAATGGCAAAATTCAACCGCTGGCAATTAACGACTAACTACCTGGTCGTAAGATATCATATGCCCACCTGCTGACCGGAATTGGAAATACATTCGTTCTAACAAGAATTTCTGATTCCATTTTAATAATGACGGGAATTTATTACTGTAGTAGATTCACTCGTTTTGCCTATTGTAGATCCTATTTTAAAAAGATAAATTGACAGATTATGATATTACATCCGTGTAACGCCATGACTTGTCGTGTCTAAGTCTGAGTGTTTCATTTCCGAACACAATACTAGCAATAGGGAATCCACCGTGTAAATAAAGCTGCATTGTAATTTTACGGTAAATACATGAAGTGTCAATGCATACCAAAAGCCGTAATCAACATCAATGAAATAGAAAAGTTAGCTAAAGCTTCAAGTTTACCATAGCCTACTATAGCTAGTTTTATTTAGTTAACTAAAAAGCAAGTATAATCCCAGTAAATTAACTCTTGTGCGTAGATGAAAGTGAACGTTACTTGTAGAGAAACTGTCTTTTTTATTTTAATTTCAGCTTCCTAGAAAGTCAATTAATCTGGAGTAGCATTTATCGAAACATAGGAACAAGAAAATGAGCAACCCTGCACTTCTTCTTCCAGAACTTCATAGCCTTATATTGTGGATGGTTTAATCGTCTGCCATAAAGAGAACGTTTACAACCTTTTAGAGTTGTAAGCGCTATCTTGATTCCAATCATCAGCAATTGTAAGTAGTTCCTGTTATATATGCTACTAACGTCAGGCAGAACAGCCGCTCTATTATTAGTAAGCCGCAACTTATACCTGATAGACTAGAGAAAATAATTCTGATTGCCGCACAGCCTGTTTGATAGAGGTACAAACTGAAAAGACAAGTGGTTACGTACTATTAGTTGACTGACAAATTCAGGTAACGTTTCGAAACTTGCTGCGTATTTTTGAGTCCTATTCACTATCTGGGGAGTGAAAATATGCGCTCGGAAACTCTCGAGCTGTTTCTTTTCTATGCTATATTACACAACAGTCATATATTCAGTGACACTAACCCCGTAAGCCTTTGTTGGTACGAATTAGTTCAAAGTCTCATTAAACGCGTCACTTTATGCATACATATGGATTTCACCTAGTCTAATTTACTGTGTTAATGGTCAATTACATTAATAGATGTTTGTTTGATTTATCGGTCTGCGGTGTTTCGATTACAAGGCAGTGGTCATGCCAAATTCAATTCTTTTTTTCTCATCATCACTCCATCATCTGACTCCCTTAAAACGATAACGGATCGCAAACAGACAAAAACACTGGTTAATGCTCACGTCTTATTTCGGCAAGATCGACAAATCATGAGATTGAAAAAGAACTGATGTAGCGAGCTGGCGCTGGAAGCTTCGACACTTTGACATAAGGTAAAGCTGAATAAAATCAGTAGAAAAACAGCCATAGTTAATTCTTCATGGACACACAATGAAATTCCAGCCTTGTGAAAGCTGATGTTCATTACATTACCCGAATACATGAACTGCTTAGTGAGAACACTACTTTTAGTTCGTTGCTTGCGAGACCTAATGACGGATATCGACAAACAGGTTAACCCACTCAAAAGCTTTACAAGCCTATAAGTAATAAAGTTGGATTTAAGGCGAATACTCTAGGTGTATTGAAGTGGTTATGCTCAATTTCGCTGGATGCTGATTATCGTACAAATAACCTTTGTCCCTTTCTCCTCTACGGCGATGCTTGTTTCCCTCCATTACGGCATAATATTTACCTGTTTTGCCTTGCTCACTAAAGCTTAGTACTGAAACGCGTCTTTACAGGAAGCACTACCAAGCTTGTAAACAGCTAGGAGGAGATCTGCGTTACCTCTATCCAGGGCTGATACTATTGTCATTTATACAAAGTAAGTGTGGCGAGAAACGTCAGTGTCTTTTTTTATTTGGGAGTCGAAAAAAATGGGTCTGTTAACAGATGCACACATCCTAAGCTCGCTTTCAGTGTTTTACTACGCTAAAACCGGAGATTAGCAAAGAACATGTAGCCTCAATCAAACATAGTAAATGTTGATGAACGCTTTCTCTTTGTGAAGTTTTATTCAAAACAGTAACTTTTAGATAAACTGACATGTTCGTAGTACTTTTATTGCCTTAAATAAAAAATACTACAGATAGCTTTAATGAGGCTCAGAAAAAAATAAGGTTAATCTTCGGTAGAAACTTACCCGATTGTGACAACTGCAGCAGTGATTGGTAGATGTCATGGCATTGACGCTCAGCAGGTATAAGAAAGGTTACCGACAAAAAGTTTTTTGATCGCACCACCAGCGGACAACCTGACGTCGTAAGGGCCTGCTTTTCCATCGACTTTGCGGAACAACGAAACGTAGAGATGGTGTTACTCCAAAATCGTAAGCAAGTATGGACAAGCGCATACGAAAAGCAGAATTGACAGCTCTATTAACACCCAGTTGCGATTGTTACCTTGACAAGGAAAAAGCTCAAATGGACTCAAGAGTCATGAACTTTTCTCTTTTTTTAGCCCAGAACGTTAATAATTAGCTCTGGTCACCACACTATATAATTGCGCAATCATCATAGCGATCTGTCTGAGCAATTCAGGTCCTTATAATAATGCAATTGGTGGAAACGCTTTTTATGTCAGAACGATTAATAATAATGATTCATAACTGTAACATATATAGTTGTGCAACACCGGTATTTATGGCTGCGTGTTAATACTACTATCATCTAGTATTTACATTTTATGACAGTGCGCTATGTTACTTGGTCAAATTAGGTCTATAGTGCACTGCGATTGAGCCAAGTAATACATATACCGTATCTGCCGTTTAGAAGCAACAATCAACATACTCGTAAACCCTTATTAATTCAGCAAAATATATAGGTTTATAGTGCGTCCTTCGAATTGATATTTGACAAAGAAATGAATAACATCAGCGTTTGTTGAATGACGTAACTTAAGAACGCGGAACAACATTTTTAATTTGGAACAAAAAAAAAAGACTATTACTGTACTCTATGCATAGCATAAAAGGTATCTTGATTTTTTACTGCATCAGTTAGCAGAGTAACTGAAAAAGAGAGTGACTGAATAAGTAACTTAGAAGCTGCAGCAACATTAAACGTAAAACTCAAGTGTTAACTGCTGTGTCGCAGGACTTCACCTAAAGCTATAGTTATAATATTATATCTTAGTGTTCTAGCAATACTTGGGTTTGTTTTTAAGTAAAAATTTTAAGGGTTATTTGAATCGTTCCATTAGTGTGTATAATGTTTTCAGGAACACTCTTAATAATTAAAACCCGATAATATTGTTCGACTGGTCCAACTTCTTCTCAGATCTATTTGAACTTGAGGTGCGGGTGAATTCTTGGACTAAACCGGGATACCATGGCGCCGTTTTGCGCATATATCCTTTTCATATGAAGATGTTTGCGAAAGATTTAAGTTTTATATTAGTTTCTGCAAGAGCTTCGTTGTTTTCGAAAGTCCTCGAAGTCTTTCGAAGTTCCTAACTTTAGTGATCTTAAATGAAGAAACAAATTGACGCTACTGAACGCCTACAGAATCGCTTTGTTCGTGAAATCGTCCCAAGATACAACGTAGATAGACCTAGTTTGTCTAATCAGTATATCTATTGGAAAGCGATTCCTAACGTGTTTAATCGGCTATGACGCTCTAGTCGTACATTTTACCTTGCTAAGATCATTAGTGGAATACTCTGCAGTAATGGGATGACAATGGGGTTGAAAGTGGTTCAAACTAATAGGGTATAGAATATGGTTTTATGCAGAACTATTGGCGATTTTCGTCATTAATAATTTCAAACTAATGAAATAAGCTGCTCGAAGATTAAATAACCTTTACTTTTGGTCACCGCTGGGGCCTTCAAGATTTTACAATGACTGACTTGGCTAGCTGGGAATATTATTCCATAAGTGGTTGACCAATTTTCTTACTTCCAGTGTGCCCAACAATCAAGATGAAAGATCCGGTAGGCGCTTCAATGCAATTGAAGATACCTTATTCGTAAAGCTTATGAAAGGCTTATGAAAATAAGCTACAATTACCTCTTTGTAAAAATCTATTGAGATGCAGATTTTATTTTGAGAAAAGTTTGAACAGGATTCATTGACAGCATGCAAACTGCCTTTAGTTTACCGGAGTGGTCTATGGATTTTGACATAATAATGTTCATAAACTAATCTTGTATAGAGATTTGATTCCAAAAAAACATGGTTTTCATTCGCCATTTGATAGAACAAACAGAGTATCACTGGGGAAAGAATATCCGCGTACTAACTCATGCCAAATTTAGCAAGCAACAGTCCCTTCAGGTAAAACGTCATGCAAATATTAAGTCAGGAAAAAATCGACTTTCAGCAGAGGACAAGAATCATAAAGTGTCCGTGATATCCAACCCCTCTGAAATCAGTTAATCTAAATGCTTGACCGCAACCTATAACAAAAGTTTATCTACACTAAAATCGCACAGCCTTAAAAAAAGGGCATTCCTTAGCGGAAGCACATTGATCACGCCTTGACGTAAGAGTTACGCGCGATGCTGTAAGAATATGTTTATCTAGATATCACGTACTGGATAAGTTGCGTGGGTAAGCGAAATATCAAAAGAATGTCACGTACTAATTTACTCCTGAAGTGAATGGAAGTTTTTAACACTGCACTTTTTACTCTACCCCGAACACTTAGTTGAAACACTAAAACAAATGTATCCGAACGACTGCATGGACCGATGCCGACTAATTATAGAATCTTTAAATCCACCGCTTAGTCGCACATCAACGAAGAACATAACGTGTTCTAAAGTCAATATTCTAATTCCATTATTAGTATCGGAACATGTTTTAAGGCATTTAGGATGAAGAATGTTTTAGGGGTACGTACCTGTATATGCATGTGAAGCAACCAGGTCTCGCGGCGTCGTTCAGGGTCATTGAAAATGAGGTGCGTTGTGGTGAGGAACAAAGATCCCACCGAATGCTTCTTCTCATTGAACCGATCCAGCATTCGTACATTCTCAATCTAAAACAAACGAAGTACGATATCGCATTGAGTATACAACAAAAACTGCAATGAAAAATTGCCTAAACATCCACTAAAGATATAAGCCATTTAGCGAGCGTTTCTGAAAGCTCATGTGAAAGCTCTATTCTAATTAACGAATTCTTTGAAAAGTTTAGGGCGGTACTCGTGGAGCTTTCTAAGCAGCGCAGATACAATTTAGCATTACATCAAGCCCATCCTGGCGACAACAAAAATAATAATAATACAGCCTAGTTAGTACCTAAGTTAATAAAGCAAAAGGAACCTTCATCGACAAACATTATAACATCATCAGCTAATCCGGGAATTCTATTGTTGAGTTCGATATTGGCCACTTTAATCAAATTAACAGTTTCCATCTTTAATTAGTATATTTTAAGAAAGTGCTGCTTTGGTGATTTTGAAGAACAATCGTTCGTTGGACGGATGTTGTCAATAAGGGGGAAATCAAATCTACCAAGAATTTTTGTTTGAACGGATCCGTTCGAATAATAAAACGAGCACTACTGCGACACCGGTAGATCAGAATAATTTAATTCCTGAATGTATGATTTACACAAAGTTTTAGAGCTTCAGTGTTTGTCTATAATTGCAACACTACCCATCTAACGGTTATTAGCCATTCGCTGTTTGTTCCTTTCTAAACTTAACCAGATAGACTGCGAAGATTTAGTACTTACAGACGAATGCCTTTCTACGTACTAGAGGCAAGAGACTTAACAGCTAAATTAGTTTTCTTAAGACAACTACTTTCTTAATATAATGTCATAACGAAACAGATGCGCATTCTACAAAGCGAAAACAGGGCAGTGTACGAGCACACTTTTATTTGATCATTTGAGAACAACGAAATGTTCCCGTGTAGTGACTCACTAATATTACTGATAATAACGAAAACAATCAGTGTCGATACGCAAACACACTCTGACTTGCAGCGATCTTACGTATTATTACTTGTCGGTGCACATGTCGCTCCCTTTACAGCGGTACAACATGGGCTTGTATCAACTAAAGCGTTTCGGGAACGACGTCAGAATGTCTAGACATTCGTTATGTAGCATTGCGGAGAAACAGCAATAACCGCAGTGAGTCGGACTGAAAATTCAGTTTTTCGCACTCCTGGTATATAAGTCATTGATCATCTACTACTTGGTCTATCAGAACAATCAGTGTTTATCAGAACAAGTGCAAGTCAGGATCTTACAATTGTGCATATCAAGCTGCCCTCCATTTCCTTCGTATATTATTTGCAGACATAGATGTTTGATGCTGAAAACGCAGGTGGGGAAAAATAATGCCGGCTGCTAGTATTGCTTCTAGTTATACGTCATAAAAGCGCAGGCATAGTACGAATCCTAATATTGAGAAGCATTACACACATCTAGCTCCCGAAAATCTGGCGTATTAATAATGATACTTTGAATTCAGGTATTGATGAAAGTGTATTTCTAAAAAATAGGTATAATGCATTTCTAGAGAAACTATACGCTAGCGAAGAAGTTGTGGCATATTCAGACATCCATATTAAAAAAAATTGCTTGCTCAATCTTTGCATTATTGATACCTCTCATATTTATAGAAAATTATTTAGATCTTCCAGCAGAATAAAGGGAAAGCAAATAGACCAGCGAACGCTTACTTCCAGCTCGCTGCTAAGAAGATTGAAGGAGAACACCATAACTAAAAAATTTCTGCAAATTCATACAGCCACCATCTATAGTAATAGTGAATATCGTATGGATGCTAGACAGGTTTGTATATTAGACAAACCTGCCAAGAATCCATAAAGTGTCAATAGAGTAATAACGTACTAAAACATATGGAATGTCCACCAAATAGTCGTTGTTACTAGAATAAATTGTGTTACTATTGTTTACTTCAGTTTTGAGGAGCGTTCATCGAGCTTAAATTGAGTGAATGGGTTGGCCGACACTGATACACTGATTTGATGTGTGTACCAATAATCTTGAAAACGGTCCTTTGATTTGTGTGTGTAGGCTTATAGGAATCAGGAAATATTTCGATGCAGACGACATGTTTTTGTGTTGAAAACATACGAAAATCTTCGATTCAAAAAAACTTCAATGAAAACTTGTATACTTTGTTAGCACGTATGTCAGACGGCACTATTGGCTCGGTGAGGATGCCCCGTTTCAACTGGGAGAATAACTGCTTGGATCTTCAAACACAGACTTATTCTAATCAGTTTTCCGTGTCTCAGTCCGCGCGAGGTGATTTTGGCTTATTCTTATCATTGAGTATTATCAAAATTTATTTATATTGTTTATTATTTAAAACTTAAATAGCCTCGGAGTTAATCTTATGTGCTCTTAGAGATTAAGAGACATTGCGCCAATGAGAAGCAATACTCCAATAATCATCAGGTTGCAGGGTTCATCTTTTCTCTTTGTCAGTTCGTTGCATAATAGTCTCCTGAGTTAGCCTGAATCGACTAATTGTTAAATACTGTTGCATTACTTAACTAAACGCAATACTAAAGTTCACTATTTTTTTTATACCTACGTTCTACCCTGCTTAGACAGCCATCGATCAAGTTCTTGAAGTATCTTTTTAATATAGAGGCTTAGCTGGTTTCAATAAACTACCAGATACTACTTTTATAACTCGGCTGAGGCTCGCGTTCTATTATTGTCGCTTACAAGCTGCAAATCTGAACTCACTGATGATGTAGTGGAACAGATATTCACATGTGAAGGCATGAAGGCAACAACTGTGCCCTATCATCCATCGTGATCCGGCGAAACAGAGCCCTCCGCATCGACGAGATCCTCGCCGTTGATCACTTATTGTCAACTAGAGAAAAATATAAGCGCAATAACAACAGTTATATTAACACAAGAGGTGGCTCACATTGTATGAAAGGCTAAAATGCCAGGGTGGAGAATGGTGAAGCAACAGCAATAGAACGGCCTGCACCGAGGCAAGGACAACATCGTTCCTTCGTCGGAAAGGCCGGATTGAGGTTCGGGGTGATGACGATAAGAGAGTCGTGAAAAAATCCTGTAGCAGCCCCGATCAGCGTTGTTTCTTCTCTACAAAAAAATGAGCCTTACACAATTTATGTGCAAAGGGAAGTTTCCATGACAGCGAATTAGCGGGTTAGTGATCGATCTTAAAAAGAGTCATTGTGGTGGCATCAAGTGGGTCGGCAATCAGGGCCAATAATAATTCGCCTCGACTCAGTAATGGCAGAATGAAAACATCGGACTTTAGCCTTCAAGAGAACAGACCCACTTGAGCAGGAACAGAATGCGGTGCGCTAATGCTATCGGGAGCAGCAACTCTACCTTACCCGAAGCGCTCTGCTCGAATGCAAGCTGAACTATCTGCCGAATCGAAAGTAGTGACAACTTTTCCCCACCGCTTTACTTTTCCCTTTACTGTTGCACCGCCAACCAGTTCCATTAAGAACGATAGCTCTATTGGACACTAACCCGTACACTGTTTTCTGATTGGTGGATGCTGCGCATAGAGGGCTGGCTGTCATCGGCGCGGGCGATCAGAGTTGATCTTACGTTCTGCGTTTTTTGACGGAGGGGGTGGCGGGGAGGCTCGGCAGAAACTATGAGGGAGCAAAGTAGCTAATTTTAGAAAGCAACTCCACGCACGCCCGTCCAACCTCTATAAATAGAAAGAATATCACCACAAATAATCGATAACATTGAACAATATAGGAAGCGACGGGAACAACCGCAAGCCTACAGCTGAATTCGTTAAGCCGTGTTAGTCGCTAAACGACGCTTCCCAAGTTTGACTGAGTACATGATTCGACATGAACAATGTCACTGGTACACGACCATCACTCAGCAGTCACCCGCCATCGGAGCTCTTGACGCACTGCCGCTGCTACTACGGCTGGCAGCGGATATCTGTGTATTCTCTTAACAGGTGCCTCTTCCGTTGGATTCGATGACCGGGTGCTTGCCAAGCTGTTGCAGAGCTCACACTCGATGTACTTACTTTTGAAATTTTAATCATGTCCATCTTGAACCTCCACGTCTTGCCGCTTGACGGGGGGCCGTCGTGAGAACCGAGCTGCGTACGGACTACTCCGTACGGCCGTTCCGTATGCTCACTGTGTCCACTGCACTGTCAGCGCCTTCTACTAACTCGCTGCGCTGTGTGCGGCCATGACACCCGTGGGGTGGACCCGCAGACAGAGACCAGCTGTTTGGTAGAGCCAACGGCGAGCGTTTGTCGGACAGCAGACGCTCAGTCAAACAGCGCCGCCATAAGTTAAATGCATTTTTACCGATTATGCCCAAACTGCGAATAGTCGAATTGGCAACTAGATGTTTTATCATGTTTTGTAAAAACCTAACCTACCCTCCTATTTAGCTGGCATATCTGAGTAATTATACCGTAGGTCGTTTGCCGGATGTCATTATCCGTGACTTAACGCCTCTCCTCCGCACACTTGTGTGATTTGATAGCGAAACCACTGGCGCTCCAATGCACGACCAGCTCTCGGCGATGTGTAGATCAACTGGCCTCCCGACACCATTAGTCGATTTTGCTGGAGCACCTCTTTGACAACTCTCATTGTAGAGACCAGCATCAGCGTACTTGTGGTGCAGATTGTACGAGTAAGAGAGGTGTGTTGTACTAGCATGCTTTGTTGGCTGGGCTGTCTTTAATGGTCGAGTTGTTAGTGTTTTCGCTTGGATCGGCGACGCCGAGTTTTTCCATCATCACGTTTTGGACGGACCTCACGCGGCCCCTAAATCCGTCTAACAGTCGTTCGTCGTCGAAAACCGACGGCCACTCAACAGAGTGGTGCTCTGAATCACTCTTAGTAGTAGAAAGGAAGTGTGTACACAGCATTTGCCGCACGAGCGAGTGCCCGTGTGTGGTGAGCGGTGTGTAGCAATATGTCTGAATTCGAAAATAATCTCGAGGAAGATCCAGCCGCCGACTTCCTCGCTCGCGAGCAGGCCGATCTAGCCGGCATCGAGGACGACGTCGCCGCCATCCAGGTTCACCAGCTGAATGGAAACGGTATGCACGACTATTAGTAATGCTAAGTGTTGGCTTGTTCACTCATTGTTTACAATATAGTGCCTCTGTGAACGGTGACGCCTGTCTTGTCAGCGATCAAAAATTTGCAATCAGTTCGCACAACGACGCATCGTCCGTGATCGGGGTAGCTTCGTATTGATGGCTATTCAATACATTAGTTGTTGTGATGTTGGTAGTGTATGTGCTATGTATCCGAAAACGTGGAAGTTCAGAATAGAATAATGCACTTATGAGGACAAGACTTTGTCCACTGTATTAGCAAGCTGCTCATACATTCAATGGTTTATCGTACCATTGATTCAAAATACAAGTGTTAATACACCCCTGAATCTTTCTGCTGCATTTTAGTTCCTATTAAGAATTAGTGTAAGTTTGTTCTTCAAGAGGGTTGTTTATGCCGATGATAATGTACTGTCGCGGACGCTCCCAGGATATTTTTCGTTAGTTTGGTGTACTTGATCCACCAACTTTTTGAGCTTCGTGACGGACAATAATTAAATCAATTTATTCTTTTTTGTTTATTCGCGTTTTTTTGTCATTTACAGATGATCATATTATCGAAGGCAGCTTTGAGGGTAGGTGTTTTTTTTTGTATGGGACACGCATTTAGCTATCCGGTAATCTGCACAACTACATGATTTGGATGAATTAATACTAACTCCCTTTCCAACTGCAGTTGTCATGATTGCAGATTATTGTTTTTAACGTAAAAATATATAAAAAAAATTACGGCTAAACTGACCATTTATACATTTACATAATAATATTAAAGTATGTTTATGTTCATGCCTTAATGTACTCTACATGTCAGAACGTTTAGGAATGTTATTTATTATGTTGCAAATATTATTAATGACAAGAATTTTTATATGCATAAACCTTTGGAACTCAACGTTAAAGAAATATTATAAACTTAACGGGTGAATAAAGAAATAGAACAGCTACAGTCAATAATAATATACACACAGCTGTGAACTTTATGACTGCATAGGGCATTTTGGATCGTGTTCAGTCTTCGAAGAACTAGTAAGAAGCATTTTTTTCAATAAATGCCGACATTGTCTTCTAGAAGTGGAAATTAAAAGCATTTGGCAAGTATCTCTTCGAACGCGAATGGGGTCTAAAGCTTTTTTTGATAACCATCTAAGGTCAGTTGATATACAGAATATTAGACAATAACATAAGGGTGCTGTGTTATAGGTCTGTTAGAAAAGTCTTAGTTCAGCAAAACCCACTCCGGTTAGGCTTCTAATGAGACCAAGTCCTTGATGCTATACCTAAAAATAGGTGAATCCAAGGACTTATTCACACAGTATGAATAATTAATAATTACCAGTGTTTTTTAGTTTTTGAATTTTGTGTAAGTTTATTTTTTATGCTGTTATCATTGCCCGAAATGAAAAATTAATTAGATTTATTCGTCTTTGACAGGTAGCATTCATAATATTTAATGTTAGAGTTCTAACAATTTAACATACAAACTTTTATACATTTTCCTATGCCATGCTAATGATGATTTCACGAGTCTGGCTAAAGTTAACATCATGAGACAACTTATGACATTTGAGTAAAAAATATATTTTCTAAAAAAGTTAGAACAACTTATTAAAGCTAAGTGTCATTGAATCTTCCTTCCTAAGCGTCATTAAGTGTCATGTCTTACATTTTTTTTAGGTTTCAAAAAGTATCAGTTAGGTTGGAGGCAAAAAGGGTGAGAACAGAGTTTTTGGCATTCGCTTCTTCGCGTTGAAACGAGATTCCGGTGTTTAATAATTAACACTAGCGGTGGCTTTTGTATTACAAAGGGATGGGCTGTGGTAAATTATGAGCTTATCAAATGATACGTCATTATTGTACCGTGTAAAGAATTTTCTTCGAAGTATCACACGCTGTCATTCTTACATGTTTGCAGTAATTTCAGGTCCATCACCTCCTGCATCAGAGAGTAATGGAACGGCGTTATCAGTTCCTTCTGAGCCTCGTCAGGAACCTGAAAAGATTCGTAAGTGGAGGGAAGAACAGAAAAGGATCATAGAGCAAAAAGGTGAGCAGGAACTTAACTTGAACGACAGGATTCGTCTAAACGTTAAAACAGCGAAAACAATAACAGTAAAGAAAGATAATTGTACGATATTTATTCTTTTCAATCTACTGTTTACCGTGGCTTGCAAGTGCGACTTAATTACGTGGTGGATACAACGCAGTCGTAATTTGCGTAGACAGCACATGATTATACTATAAGCGGTTATGACATATTTTTTACAATAGGCCTTATAGAATACATGATTTCAGGTGAGTTCTCAAAAATGTTTTGCGAAAAAGTTGTGAATGTGCACCATATACGTCAGTTCTGCGTTTTTTTGACAAATGCTATGATTTAGTATTTACCGAATGTTTTTGTTGTGAAAAATGTAATTTACGAGTATGCTGCGTTCTCTTTGATGTTTACATGACAACCTCCTTTTAGACGCTGTGGAGGAGATTAGAAAAGAAGAGTTACGGAAAGAAGCACAAAAAGAACTCGAGGAGTGGTATATTCGCTACCGGGAACAAATCGAAAAGGCGAAACAGGCCAACAGGTGAGGGTTATTAACTTCTCCCTTGCGTCGGTGCAAAGTTTTTAGCGCTAGTACCGAGAAATATTTTTTGCCAATGACAAGATTATGTGAAGAAAACGCGCGGGCACGTTTTACGAAGTAATTAGCTATCGCTTCAATATTCACGGTATGTCATTTGCTAATGCTATAATGTTTTTAGCAGCTACATTATTTTTTCGACTACCTTCTATTCATTTGTTTCCAGCCTGTCGCAGGTACTTTTGAACGTCACCTGAAGATCTGAAGTCAAGTAGAAACTTATACTCCTCTATAATTAGTTTTGTCAATTATCATTATTATCTGGCAAAGTGTTCAACGATTTTATTCTTGGTTAAATTCTTCAAGATATTTTATCTATATTGTTCATTAAGCGATAGGAATAGTTGCGTACTACTTTGCTGTTTGCTAATGTATCCATTTTTGGCTGCGAACGAAGCAGCGATTTGTCCGGGTTCGGCAGTACAGTGTGATCATTTATCGCAAACCCCAAAGTACGTAATTAGTAGATGCGTATGTCAGGTAATATCAAAATGGTCTAAGTAACGTACAGATCCGAAATTCCACAAACTCGGAATTTGTGTGGATTAATTGGGTGCTATAGTGTGTGCGGATGTTGATTTTTTTCTTTCTATTATACGAAATAATGTTACATAATGGAACTAGCTTCAGATAAACGTATACATATAGTACTGCTGATATTGTTAACTAACAGTTAGTCTCGATTATTGTAGTTAATAATTATGACGCTTATCATGAACAATACTAACGTTTCTCACTTTCCTCACGTCTGAATTAGGGAGTTATCCAAGTAAGTTTCGGCATGTAGTAATATCAGAGTGCGAGAAGTTATATCGTAAATAACATTCAATTGCATGATAATAGATCTATGTGATTGATAGAGTCCAACAAATATACGCAACACACTTATGTAGACCCACGTAGCAGAATTTCTAAATTGATTTATTTACATGAATGGCCAACACTTATCTTACTTTACTCACACTAATGGCTAACGTAATATTTCTTGTTTAGTTATGGAACGTGACATAGTAAGATCTAGCTTTTCTACCGGCTTAGTTAATTTTTCTTTAATCGGGGTACGCACCGGAACGTGACATAGTAAGCTCTAGCTTTTTTACCGGCTTAGTTAATTTTTCTTTAATCGGACTACGCACCATTACTGGCTGTGATCGCCTGTCATTCAGGTAACAACTTATTTGTCCTGCTACTAGAGAAGTCTGCGGTATGAGAGTCTAAGCTCTCGAAAGGCGATTTCGGCATTATTATAGATTTGAATAAGTTTTCTACGAAGGAGTCGTTAAGGCTTCGTAAATATGGTAATCTGTGAAATCAATATTTGACAGAGTTTCCACCTATAACCCCCTATATTTTCGCCGCCGTAATTCTTGCAGTGTGAGGTTATCGTGTAAAAAATGTGGTTTGCATCTGTTTATTAATATTGGCTGTGTAATGCGGAGGCTTTCATTGCCTCTATTTGTCGACACTATTTCACCCCTGATCTAAGACCAGGACTCATGAATAGTGAGTGAATAAAATCTGCATTAGACCTCCAAACAAACATCATTAATTTTTCCAGCTGCCTTACGGTGAAATCCCGCTGGTCCAGTTACATTCCACCAATGTAACCCTGCGTGATTTGTACTTTGTTTATTACAAGTGACAGGCGGTGCAAAAATGGGTTGTTGTTATAACAAGAGGGCAAGCGTCTGTGCTTCGATTTCTGATTTTTGCTCATATCATGTAGCACTAATTTTCTTGATTATTAATTCTCCATTATTCTTTATTAATTTGATCGAGGTAAACAAGTATTGTTCTTTAAGATGCACCTAGCCTAAATGGTGGCATCCGTCAATTTCAAGATGCGCCAGCTTGTATCACAGTTCTTAACTATTCATTATTCACTTTCACAGGGGGTCTTTCAGGAAATTCATTTTCGAATTTTTTAAATGACGACTAATGGTATTCTTAGTTGTAGAACCCTCAACGAAGACATGGTTTTTACAGCAAATTGCCCCTCCACTGAAGTTCTGTGATGAAATTTTCACTCATAAAGCATTAAAAGTTTCTGATTTTGCATGGCTTACTAAAACCCGCCTGCTAAAAGCCCTAGTGGTGAGTTTCAAGCGAACGGACTTGAATTTCAAGAAGTAAAAGTGCACCTTGAATACAAAAAAGGTGTCATGAGATGTTGCACTGTTAGAAAATAGCGTTATACTAAAAAATGAAATTAATGTTTGTCACGTTTCATACTAAGCAACCTATGTAAACATTTTAGTATACAACGTATGTAGTACAAGATTATGCTTGTTTGTAGTGTATATTTAAATAAAAATACATCGTTGGAGGACATTTTTTGCGTGTGCTAACAGAAATGTGCAATGTAACGCTCATTGCTTTCCAACACGATTTAGTTCGGAGTTCCGGTCGCTCACAAATCATTTCCAAATTAAAAAAATTTTATAAACACAGTAACTTCCTTATAGTTACCTGGAGTGGACTGATCCGTCTAGATTCATTAAGGTTAAGCACACTAAATATTAAATAAAACAGTAGACCTACATTTTAAGCTGACAACAGGCCAAAACTCCCAAAAATTAGGCCATAAGGCACAAGAAATCTTCAAACAAAGTTATGGATAGGCTACACGCAGTCCCGTATACAACAGATAACCTTATTTCGAAAACAGACTTTAATAGTGCATAAAAATTCTTTCATTGTGTTATCATAAATTACTATTTATGCTCTTCTGGATTATTTTTTCTTCACTCTTGATGTATACCTTATTGTGGATCCTCTATTGGTATGTGAAAACCTTTCTTAACTTCTTGTAAGCCAGATGAGCGACAACGCGATAAACATTTTCAGGGTATAAAATTTTGAGAAAGGTTTATGTGGCGCGAAGACGCTGCAAAACAGCTGGTTTTCGCTTATATTCTGATATTAGCTTGCGTCCATCCGCTAATCTTAGTGCTAAGAGAAAGCCGGCTTTTTTGTAGAGCAAAGCTTGTGTTTGGGCAGGACTTCAACAAGCCCACACATACGCACATCATTCTACTTAAGGTTCTGTCTGTGTTTCAATATGGCCTATACAAAAGGAATACCGATTTATTTGAAACACAATGTGTATCTACTTTTTTAATGATTAACGTCCGTTACTAAGTAGATCAAATGAAATAGGAAAGTCAGTATTCGTCGGAAGTATATTTTATTTCTGCTTTATGCGACAAATCAGTTAGTGGTTTAACATTGTTGTTTGCATGGACTATTAGTTTCTGGTTTTTCTTCCTACAGGCCATTCAAAAATCTAAAATACTTGAAACCACACTCTACCGTTTTCCCAGACCTGTGGCATCCGCTTTTTAATTGAAAAAAGTGATTACTATAATATGTACTTGGTGTATGGAGTAACTGTTATGGACCAAAGAACAAAACAATTAACTAGTAATGTATAAAAACTAAACAATCACCTTAACTAAATAGAACTGAGAACTGGTATAATTAAAGCAGAACACATGGTAATAAACTGAAATGTACATCTACATGCAATGAAAATTGTTGATGTGTTAGGAACAAGGTTCTCTTTTCGGGCTTCCTCACATGCGCCTGCGTCTTCTGAGCGGCCAGTTTGTGCATTTTTCGTTGAAATGTTGAGCGCGAACTTCCAATTGAAGAAGGTCCATGCCTGTATTATTTCTGCTTGATTGCATATTTTCGAGTAATGTCAACAACTCGTGTGAAATCTGTTCTGCAAATTTTTTGCATTATGGTGTGTAATTAACGTCTACTGTTTTGGGTCTGGGTGTTTATTGGTAACTCGATTCACTTCAACTGCGACCCGAACCTAACAGGAACGCTGAAAAGGAGTACGTCTGTGAGAAGTCCGCCAAAGGTGCCGAATGGGAAGGCATTGCCAAAATGTGCGATTTCAACCCAAAGTCTACGAGGCATACAAAAGACGTCTCGCGCATGAAGTCCATGATCCTGCAGCTCAAGCAGGCTCCACCGAACAGCGCTCCAAAAGCGTAGGCTTTCATCGGCCGAAAATCCGCCTGCTGCACTTGCCGTCGCTGTATTGGGACATCGCAAAAGACCTCGTATTTCCGTTTTTGGTCCCATGCGATCTGAGCCACGAATAACTGTGTCACCTACATTGTACCAATATCGGGCCCCAAGGTCGATTTAGCCAACTCTGGATAAATGCGCTAGGAGAAACGCCGAATTCGTTGAGAATTTTCGAATCGTTGCGTATGTAGATAAAAAGGAAAGTAATCATACAAAAAAAACTGTAGGTAACAACAAAAGCAACAAAAAATCGTAGAATAACATGGATTATACAAGGATGAACACTAGCTAATGGATTAACGCTGTCAAAACATAACGCAACACAATAATGATACGTACTACAAATTTACACATAGATCTGCATCCATCCATTAGCATCCACTCATGCAGTTTTACATAACCTCCTAGTAACATACGTGTGCACACATGTGGGGGTAAAACTTGAGAAGGCCCCGTGATGGATACTAAAAGAGAAGCGGCCTGTTTATGTGTATATGCATAAGAGTACGTAAATGGTAAAGATCAGCCGAGCAGCGAAGTGGATACGTGCTTTATTGTGTAACAGAGCAATGCAACCAGGTCAATACGCCGCTAATACAATAAGGTGTTAAAAAGGGTAGAATAATATTCATATTGACGAAACCACAGATTACGAGGGCGAAAAATGCGACAATAGGGGAAAATATATTGACGGAGTATGAATAGGCGAAGATGACAATGATCACAGAGGCAGTGAAATTGAGCATAGCTGTCCAGTAGGTAGAGATGGGGGCATTGTGGGGAGATAAGACCGAAACGTTTGGTTTGATAGAAATGAATAAATGGTTGATAATAAATGAGAACATATGTGACAAACAGCTGTACTTTTTATTCTATTGTATGTGCATAGCTAGTGTATTATGCAAGGAAAAACAAGCTTTTTGTAAGCTGTTTATAAGAGACAAAAATAGATTGCTTTGGTGGTAAGAGTTACGTGATGAACCAAGATAGTAACGAGACAATGCTGTATTTGTGTAATTGTTTTGTCACCCATTTTCGCAATTTTCTTTATATATATATATATATACACTACTATCATTTCAAACACTTTATTAGATGATGCAACTTCAACTATCCGAACTCGCGATACACATACGTGCAAACTCTGCGTCAAACAAGCTAAATCTTGCACCTATTTGTTGCTAAGCATTAATTAAGTCCTATTGTAGGTAACTGAGTCTCGTTATTGTGTTAATATCAGCAAGCATTCGAAAACACGATAAATACATATTTTGGTACATTACCCAACTATTTCAATATATCCTGCAAGGTATAATCCGGTTTATTAGTTGCCTCTGCCGACATTCGTCTGATTTCAGTTTTTTGTATTTGTTTCAGTTCTTATTTGAGGATGGTCATTTAGGTGGTATTAAAGGTACTACAAATTAAATATTATTAAAAGAATTAAAGTTATACCGGTTTTTTGAGGAATAGCATGTGTAGTTGGTAAGCTCACTAACTAGATTTAGTTGACATTTATGAATTATTTCCATTATTATTATGCTTAGGTTTAGCTCTCTATACTCTAAACCCGTGAAAATGCACATTTCAATTGTAACACTTACTCCCTTGTAAAAAAAAGTATTGCGCTGTGTTTTGTTATGTTAGTTTAGTGCGCGATTGTTCAATACAAAAGCTGCCATTTTCTGACCTTTACTGGCTACTTGTTTTACTAACCAAGCAACTTACAAGCAATTGTTTTGCATTGTTTCTTTTATATAATATATAATCGTGTCTGACGTTGGAAAACTTTCCATTATTTTTGCTTGAAGTTCTGTGTTGTAATGGAACATATAGATGGAACATGATGACCTGTTAGTCGTTTCACCAATGGAGACATAAATTGTACTCAAGACCTATTGAATAGCTCATATATATATATATATATTCAATGGGCCTTTATATATATATATAAACTACTCAATGGGTCTTCAGTCCAATTTGTGTCGCTATTGGTGAAATCATATATATGTTTTTGAATAAGCAATAACCGTTTTTGTTTTTGCCTCTAATTTTTCATTTGCTTATGATCAATTGTTACCATCGGAAACATTTCTGTTTTACAGGGCCGTTCCACTGTACTGAAATGGAAACAATATATTTTGATTTCGGTCTTGGAGACGTGCGTATCAATGAGTGCCAATTTATGCGGGTAAAAGCAGGTATCTAAACGTGTCTTTCGGGTGGGAAAATCAAAGTTCCACGCTTCGACAATCTTAAGCCACTTCCGAAGAAGAAATTGTTAAATAGGCCTGTATTTTTTGATAACAATTTTCATTTTTTGAGTTCCTCTTACAGTTTCTCCACGTGGACATAATGTTGATGTCGCAGGTTCACATACCAATCGTTCAGTAAAAGACGATAATTGCGTGCTCATTAGTCCAGTGATTAGAAACTTCTAAATACTTTTAGAAATCAAAAAGCATGGTCTTGTTCATCTAATGTGATGGCTCTTTTATGTGTATGTCCTTTGTCCAGGTAAGTTGTTACGTGAAGTTGAAGTTTAATATTCATTACACAATTCATTTATACAAATATATTGCTTTTATTTGTAAGTTCCTAAACTTCCTTAATTATAATATATGCACTGAGTATAGTGTCAGTGAATGTGAAATAAGTCTACACTGTCAGCTCACAAAGCAACTTGGTAGCAACCGTTTGATCAGCAACCTTGTTATTCCCATTAACATCCCATAGGATTACTGTTGTTTGCTCGTATAACAGTGAGAAGTTCATTTTGGAATATTATTGTACGGCATAGAATCACACGATTTCCGCACTAATGTGAAACTCAAACAGCTCTATAGAAGGGCATTGTCTAAGTCCTAATAATCTCATCATGGTGATCAATGAACCAAATTTTGTTTTATAAGTTTACACTAGCTTAAATCCATGCAACCTCAGCCTAAATATATGTTGTGTATTCTACATCCGGTACACCAGCATAGCATACACCGAAACATATATACCATTAACGCCGATACAGGAAGCAGGTAACTTTTAAAAAAGAAAAAATGTATTCAGTGAAACACATGAATAAGTATGAAGTAAACAAATTTCGAACGCATAGAATTCTTGTGGCCGGCATCCTGTTTCAAAGAGGTACTTTTTATTGTTGCGATGTAACGCTTGCTTATAGTCGACGGGTCATTAAGTGATTAGCCATACGCGTTAGGTGAAATAACACGTGAACAAGATAATCCCAATATATAAATATGACTATTATTTATTAATTAAAGAAACATGAATATATATTATATAAAGTCTATACAAGGATAAAGAAATCGTGTTATTTGATTCCATCTAGAACTGAAGTATCCTTCCAGGTGCAACAATTCCTATTATAATGCCCTTTTAAACCTATATAACACTACTAAATTTTACAATACCTTATATTTTGCTATTTAGAACACTAGAGGCCATAATTTTTGGTGTTTGTGTTCTCAGAGCAAATCTTCGGTGCATTAATGACGCTACATACACAGAGCATGATTGCGATCAAGACTTAGGTCATCATAGTAAATGCGTAGATATTTAATCCTTGGAAGTGTGTAGTAATATACAGGTTAATTGATATTTATCCAACATTTTACGTAAAATTAAGTTAAAGATTATTAAAAAAAAACTAACGTTACAACCTAAACTATTGATTGTATGAGACCAGTGGTACATTATCAACACAAGATTCGCTTTTTACAGCTAAGTTGCAACTCAATATGTGCTAAAGGTTCAATCTATTATTTGCGAAAAATAAATCGGTAGCCATAAATATCCTTTAAGTCATCCAAGAAATGACAACAATTGCAACATTTCATGAAGTTCATTCCGGGTTTATTATTACTGGTCACTGCCTTCGTCATGTATGAATTGTAAGTCGCTCTGTCGTTAGGTTCGAGTTTTTCGTCCGATCTGTGCTATTGCATTCTGTATGTACAAGAGGCAAGTACAAACCGTTTAGTTTGAGAAATAACACTAGTTTCCTTCTGGCCACCTTTTATATTCATTCACTCACTCGTGACGATAGAGTTTCATTGATTCCATTTCAGTTGCCTGCCTCCATGCTCGCAGCAACCAGCGTCGTTTAACCCCCGCTAGTTTCTACATTTCCGTCCTCTCATCATCATCCGCATTATTTCCATTTGCATTCAATTATTTTGGCATTTCAGCGAGAGCATCAACATTCGATGCTCCTGTTTCACGTATGTACGATACTATAAACAGTTCTAGGTTGATTTTTTGCCAGCAGAATGGCTCAGCGTGCTAAAGCGGCATTGACGTGAAACCTGGCTATTATTAATATTATTATTTTACCGATATCGGCATCCGTTTCTCCGCGTCGATTATTTCACATAATTATTCGCTGAAGGAGTGCCCCACAAAGAGCATGTGGTTCATGCTTCGCCTAGGCCAGTCAGTTTTTTCATCTATAATAATGGGCTGGATATGGCTGGATAGAAACTTGGTACATTGTCCATTCTCCACAAGAACATTAACGAAGTGTTTAAATGTGTTTTTAATGGGTATTGATGGATAGCCTTATAGGCATTCCGTCGTTAAAACCGGCTGCTCTGGTTCCTTGTTAAACCTTTCTTCTCGAAGGTCTTACTCTCCGTTCGATACAGACGGAGCTGCTTAACGAAACGCTCGTCGACCATTTTCAAGTACTCCTGCGGTTGACAGTGCTCTTTGAATTCACAGAAGAACTCCTTATAGCCTCCTTGCAGAATGTATACTTCGGGATAGAAGAGTTTAGGATACACATTAGCAGCGCGATCTAACTCTCGTAGGAATTGCGACATTTTTGGTCCACGTTCAGACGAGAACTCGCAATGGAATATGACAATGTCTTTTTTTTTAGATTCGCGTTCAACTTCGGCGTCCTCTGGCATTTTCTGAAGGAACTGCCTGATAATGTGATCGGGTGTGTAGAGATTTAGGGCGCCCTTGATGTGGCCTCCGTCATACTCATATGGATATCGACAATCTATGATTTGGAACGAATTAATAACATGGTCGTACACACCGTTGATGATGTCGTTCATCGTCTGTGCCGTTATCGTCGGTAGAGCGCAACTTTTATGCGCTCCACTTGTTGGCAACGTTGTCTCAATGACTTGCTTATCGATAACGCCTTCAGCGGCTTCACGGTCAATATTTGATTCGCTGTAGTATTTCGGCAGCTTCTCCATAATATTTGCGGAAACTTCAACTAAGCAGCGGGAGGTACGAGACCTTTTCGAACTTCGCTCATCATCATTTGAGCGCTTTGACTTCACAGGAGTGTCGCTGTCGCCGTTAGCAAACGAGAGGTTTCGCCGAGCGGAGGATGAAGCTTTCTTACACAGGACCCCCTCGGAGGTAATAGGAGCTGACAGAAGAGATGTGAGTGCAGAGGGAGGCTCAACGTTTTCCTTGTTTTTACCATCCTCGTCTAGGTTGACTTCATCAACTGCGAAACCATCTGAAGTCGATGAGCTGTATCCCTGCGATGAACTCTTGCGGAGAGGGCTGCTTAAATTCTGGGGTTCCTCTTTACCTTTAAGCTCTTGGCTGGGTCTTTTCAATGGTCGGCGAATATTCCGATTGATAAGCAGCGGTGAATCTTGTGAGTTGTTTTTATTTGTCTGGCCCATTAGAGCACGTCGACGTAAGTTTACTGTTAGCGGGGACGGCTCCGCTTCGCTTTCAGAACTGCACTCGGAAACAGGAGTAAGCGCTTTGAGCCGAAAACTGCCCGCGCTGTCAGGAGTTTCAGTGTTAAGTATCTTGGAAGGCATCTGTGGCGTACAAGCGACGGTAATCGTGCGAAGAGTCGTAAGGTTTCGTGAGAGATCTGTGACTGGGGAAACGTTGTCAGGTGGACATGCCAGGTCATCCATCATTGCCACGACGTTGCACGCCTCCACAGAGACACAAGTACGAAACGGCCACAAGCGTGTCAACAGTCTTCACGTTCTTTTACTCAAATGCAGACAACTGCACCTTCAAAGCGGTCTAGATCAGCATTGGCTCATCGAGATGCGCCAGCCGTAGTTGCAGTACGGAAATGCTGCCGCTAGAATTCCTACTCCGATCCCATGCCACACAGCATGCTACTGCAGAACACTCGTTTCCCGAAGAAATGTCGATCGAGAAATGGTTAACGTCGGTGATTTAACGCTTGATGTCGAAACGGTAAATCGTCGGAAGGGCAGATCGGACAAACTCTCACACCACCAGTCACTGGTCACTGCTACTACTGAGTGACCGCCTCGGCAATTGCACTCTCACCGTTCGCTGCCGCGAACCGACCCGATGCAACTGCTTGCTGTCTTCGCTTCTGCTGTCCCGACTCTTAGTATCCGAAGCGATCTTAACCCGCCGCCCGCGTGAAAGCGCGCTGTGCACAGGCGCATTATTTCGATGCGCCAAAATTTGAAATTGTGGCGCGAATATTTAAACTCAGTAGCGCAAAAAATCAAGCGATTTGTAGGTCTACTCATGTTAACTTTACAGCAAGCCTAAATGAGAGGTTTGATCTTAGAGGTAAAGAATAATAAGCAAACCATATCAATCCACTCAGTGGTTCACTTCAGACGAAAATGAGTATTGGGAAGTAGGAAATATCGACGGGCATTTACTGACCGTCACTGAAAATACGTGGTTCGTGTAGTAGCCCCTACTTATTTTCAAACCGTGCATAACGAGCTATTACAAACTGTGTAGTAAACTCTAGATACAAGATTATAGAAACATAGCCCGAATGTCTACTGCTACTGGCCAACAGATAAAAAAGGATTGAGAAATAGCGCGTACAAAGTCCGGACCAATGGCAGGTAAGTGTTAGGATGGGTAGAGTCCAACTTGCCGGCCGGCCGGTGGTGGTGATGATGTTGTTGTTGTTGTTACTGCGGCGTGGTTCGGCGGTGGAACAGCGCCGGTGGACAAGCAGACGACGCTGGCGGCAGCAACAGGCGCTAGCGGCGGAACGAGAAAGCACGGAGCGAGCGGCCTGGTGTCTGATCTGGCGCATTTCAGGCTGGCGCGCTGTGGAGAAGTCCGCCGTAAAACTGTCTCTACTGAAACGAAGCAAGCAAACAACCCACGAACGAGATCGACGGACGACGAATTTATTATTATTGATGACCACTGATGGCTTAGTTCTATCTAGAATCCGTTGCACAAAGAAAAAGAAAAGAAATCACAGTGCTGAAGCTACTATTGATACTATTCGTACGATTCACACTATTAGCGTCAGTGTTATCACGACGGCTAATGCACGCCGGCTGCTGTGTATGTTTGCGGAAAGAAAACAATACGACAAAAAATAGAGATGCTTCTTTCACTAACGGTTGCGGTGGTTACCCCTGTACTCGTTATGGCTAGTGACTAATCTCTCGTCTTCCCATTTAGCCAACCCAATATTGACCTGTTGATACCCTGTTGTATATTTGTTAACTATTAGTGATATTCTTAAGTGTTTGGTGTGTGTTAATTGTTGTGAAGAGAAAGGGTTACCGCGCATTCGTTAGTTGCTGTTTATTCGTTGTTATCCGGTTCGATTCGCGACTCGACAACATTTTGTGTATCGACGACGTTTTTATACAACCAACAACTAAGTACCTGTTCAACTAATACGATCAACTTCCGTCATCTGCGTTAACAGCGGGAGTTTCAACTCTCCAAAAACCGGTAAGTGATCGTTCGAACGACGCACCGTATGGTGCAGGGAGTTTTCACATTTAATGGATCTCGCCACAGGATATTGAAAACTGTGTTTTCTCTGTATCTCTGTGGGTGTCTCTATGACTCTCCATGTGCGTGTATGTGTGTGTGTGTGGTCTAGAAGTATGTAGCAGAAGCAGCAACAGTGTGTGTGTGTGAGTATATGGCAGTCACTAAAGGTGGACGGTGCGTTTATAGTAAATTAGTCATTCCATACCGAGTTACTGAATCATATGCAATAGGTAACCGACATTGTATTAAATTCGATTGCTTCAAGCTTCTGTTACTGGCGATTTTTGTTCATTGTATCCATTTTTTTTTTCTTTGACTGTCCCAAAGTCGAGAATGTTCTATTCGATTCATCACCAACAGCATCCGTCGCGAATTTTTACGGGTAAAATTGACCATGTACGCACACTTATACCATGGAAATTCAGTGTGTTTTTAGTAAAAGATACTTTTTTTTTATGAACGACACCTGCGTATTTGTGGCTCGTTCGCTGTTTCTGTGCGTCCTCCTCTAGCTCCGGGTCTTGCTGCGCGTTGCGCTTTATCGTGCATTGACCCGGCCGCCGCGGACCGTCGGCTGCCGATTGTAGCAGCAGCGGGAGGGGGAACATAACAAGAATAAATAACGAACGCAAGGTAACAGAGTATCGTTGGAACAGAGTGACTGGAAAGGCAAATTAGTTAATTGAGTGGAAAACGAAGTGGAAGCTGGAAGTGGGAATGAATCTAAAAAAGGGGAGCATATGGAAAACTCCTTACATTTCCCTCTGCTGTTACTGTTACTATAAACAAAAAGAAAAATTTAATTATTACTGACAGAATTGTGTGTTTCTCTTCATCGTTGACTTTTCGGTTCATTTCTGGCGCTGCTAATGTTTAGGCTTATGCGCTATGCTTGTCATCGTTATATATATCAGTAAAATTAAAGGCACATAAGTTTGTACAACGATGACGAGCTGGCATAAGTTTGACAGGCTGCGTGTTCAAACTGCCATCGGTAATGGCCAGGAGTGATTGCGTCAACGTACTATGAATCATATAATGAATATACTTGTAACATTGTTTATTGTGCGGTTGTGTTTTTATAGCGCACCCGTAATCGCTTTTGTTGCATTATTTTTTCTTTTGGCCACAACGGTGCTCAGTGTCGTTGTTTATTGAGTGATCGCTGATTGTTGCTGCTGCTGCTTTTGCTATGATTGCCCGGTCAAATGTGATGCCATGTGGCTTGACTCTATTTTCGTATTTCCAACGAATAGACTGGCGACAACGAACAACTCGGTAGAATATCCACCAAGCTCAAAGCCGCCTAACAACCAACCAAGTCAGCTCCTTGATATCACTGACTGTTGCTGCCACTGCTACGAAACTACTGCTGTGTGCTAACAGCACCAACACCAGTAAGATGTCGATTGTTACCGCCCCAATCCCTTTCATTGATTACGTTGTTTTGTAAATTATATCTCACAACAATTATAATGAGTACATTAGTAGTAGCAGTAACGATAGTTGTAAGAGAAGGTTGTAAAAATCTACTAAACTACAATAGTTTTTTTCGGGAGTAGACCGACCGCGTTTACTCGTTGTCGGACGATCTACAACGAACCAACCTACCCCAGCCCTAGTCCCTCTTTTCGTTCCGCCCTCGTGGCAGAGAACGCCATCTTGAACTGAACTGAGTTGCCTTCTTCTTCGATCCAGTTGTCTTCGAGCGCCTCCCTTCTACCAGGAGCAACAAGCACAACCGTAAGGTTCACGAGACGATAAAGACCAGACGAGAACCATCAGGTCGGCAATGGCGATTCGTGGCATTGCCAATGTGTTGTCACTACTCAAACAGACAGTAAGTAACAGCAAGGGGCTGAGCAACAGCGGACAATGATAGCTAAGCAAAATATACAGTAATTGAGATGATACTCCGACCTAGCGATAAAAAGGACAGTAGTTCATGTTATTGCATCGCAATGATGCTCTTGCTGCTACCAGTGTTTCTGTTATAAGATTTTATATCCAGAATCGCCGACTAACAATGGAGGTCATTGTTTCGTAGAATTAGTTCATCGCGGTTATGACGTAGCTGCTACCATCATCGTGGTCGTTGCTATCACTGATCGATACTATTGTTTTTACATCGAAATACGACGACGGCGAGTATCTGTGTCATAGCGTTTTGATAAGTTAGTTACGTAGTAGAGCCAAGGTGAAAAGCAACATATTAATGCCACTACCGGTTTTACTTCCACCACCTTTACTATACAGGGATATGGAAACGCACAGCATCTATGTACACATAGCTTTAGAGGCAGCCTAGAACATCTACATTTGTGTAACGCACTCTGGCACAGACCGATAAGAAGCAGATTCCCGCATTCGCTTGCCTAACGAATTGCAGTGAATGTTTAAGAAGGAGAAGGAGAGAGTAGAACATGAAAATTCGATTCATGATTAGCGTGAACTGGCAGCATCAGGACATTTTACGCGTGTCTAAAAACTTTTTTCCGTGTAATGACGATTTGTCAGTGACTCAAAGCTAAATATAGTGGCCACAGTACAAATTGTTAATACCAAGTTGATCTTGCCTTAAAAGAGATTAGAAGCACTTAGGTGACTTCTAATTATCTTTACATTTTTTACCTGAGTCACTAAGCCAAATGAAGTTTTTCTCTAACCTTGATTACGACTGTTGTGCATTTAAGAAAGAGGATGATAGCTGAAAACCTACTCGTATTTTTAATGGGCTACTATTTCCTTTAGTACCATCGTTGCTGTGTTTACGTCATTTGTCAAGATGTAGTTACCGTATCTGTATTGTCACCATATCGGTTTCTCCAGGTGTAATCTCTCTACCAATTATGCATTTATTTAGTTATGCGAACATACTGTGTTGTTATACTTTTTTTTTATATCATTTTTATAAACCAACAAAGAATATAGAGAGAGTTGAGCCAGCTCCAGTTGTTTTAAGTTTGATGTAGGCTAGTGTGGGGTATCAACGCTATCAGCCAAGGTAAGCATTATCAAGATGCAAAAAAAGTAGTCAATATATAAAAGAAAATCTTCAGTAAATGGCTTAATTGATCGCAGGACATCTATAAAATTGTTGTATTAGCTCAAGTTATTCAACCTTATAGAATTTTAGCAGTTCATTTTTTAAAACTTTTCAGAATTTTTTAAAAC